TTCATTTCTTTTTATGTATGTAGGGTAGAAGGGGGATCATACGCCATAGGGGCACATCTGCCAATAGCGAATAACTTGAAAACAGAGTAATCGATTTCACTGTGTGAACTTTTTGTGGTAACTTTTTTAGTTTTTGTGATAGAAAAAATATATTGGTCAGTATTAGAACGTCAATAATAGTGAACAATAAGACATAATAATATTTTCGATAATATAATTTGAAGCCCGAAAAAATTTAAACTAAACCCCAGAACTGCCCGTGGGGCACATGCACCATATATATGTAGTGCTTGTGATGTAGAACAATATTTGGTTAAAATATAGAAAAAATCAGAAATAATTTGTTTTAATTATATTGTTAAGTTTTGTGAAATAAACAATAAATATCTGGTTTATTATACTTTGTTTAATGAATTAAAGTATAAAACAGCAAAATAAGTTTTTATTTTTGTAATTTTTTCTTTTATTTTACTAATGACAAATCTGCCCATCCCCTTGGGCTGCCCATCCCCGCATTTACCCCATGGATGGAGCGGTATCGCCGTTTTTGGTCAGTGCGGAAAAGTTAAAAAAAATATGTACATGAGGATGACTTAGGAAAGATTGAAAGGAATAAAACTAAAGCCAACATATCTAAGTATCCGAACCAAGAAAAAAATTAAGAATATGTATTGTGGTTTTAATTTGAGGCCGCCTCAAAAAAAAAGTGGCGTATGGTCCCCCTTCTACCCTAAATTAGGGTGTCCCTCACACAAAATAAGCTATTGGTGTATTATTTGGATTTCGGGTACTAAAGTCTATATAGGACTAAATTCGGATACATAATTAATTGTGGCGCATGTTTTGTTGGCGAGTATATACGATTCACAACAACAATTAAAAAATTTCAGATGGAAATGGAAAAAGTACCAGAAATTCCCCGTTTATAGATGTGTGTTTAAAAGTGTACCAAAAATTTTACGCTTATAAATTTGTTATTCCATCAGAAAACTACATATATCTATGATTCTAGGTTCAATAATTCAGAAAATCAAAATATTACCATTTGAATGAGGAAAAATTAGGAGAAACTTCCCTTTTGAAAAACGAAAAAGCACAAAAAAGTCGACTTTTGTAAATTATCATTTACTTCAGGATCTACAGGCTTAATTTAACGTTTCTTGATTCAATATTGCAAAAAACTCAAAAGTATCAGAACCTTTATAGTTTCTCATTTTCTCATTCAGACTGTGCATGTTTAATTTTATGTTTCTAAATTCAATATTATAGAAAATTTAAAAAGTACCTTTTGAAGATGCAAAAAGAACCAAAAATCCCCTTTTATAGGTTCACATTTAATTCGGGCTCTAATAGGTTCTCATTTACTCAGGGATTTACAAGTTTAATTTCATGTTCCTACGTTCAATATTATGGAAAATTCTAAAAGTACCTTTTGAGGAACGAAAATGTACCAAAAAGTCCCCTTTTATATGTTTTCATTTATGGCGCGGGGTCTGTATAATTTTATGTTTATATAGGTTCAATGTTATAGAAAACTGGTACTTTACCAGTTAAAAAAGTACCAAAAAATAGTTCTTAATATCAGAGTTACAAATAGCAATCTGTATGTTGTTATTGTTTTCTTTTTTTCTTTTTGTCAAAACATGCAGAAAAATGCTAAATTCGATCTTCATTTTTAATATAATTATTGAAGATTCGCATCTCGCAGATTTGAGTTTTTCTGAAAAGTGAATCCGATATGCCAATATTGCATAAGTGAATCCGATATGCCAATATTGCATATGTTTAGTTTGACTTTCAAAGTTTATGGGTTAAAATTATTCGATTTTACTAAATCTTCAGATATATGTATATTTCCTATTATCGAGGATTTTATATTTTGAAAAGACTTTATATAAAATACATAACAGTATAGAATTAAGGCAAATTTTGAAAAAAAAAAAAAAAAAAAAAAAAAAAAAAAAATTATTTTCTCTGAAATCCTCGAAATTCAAATCACAGGTACCGCTAATCTATGATCGTTATTGATAAAAATTTGAAATTGGAATTTTGAAACTGCCGTCTAAAGGGCTTCTCGTATTGACTATAACCTAAATTAAGATTACCGTTATCTGATGAAGATAAAAAGCTCATATTTAAGTAAATACGAATATATTTGAAGTAACTTGATTATTTCATTACAATATTTTCCAAAATATGTTAAATTTTTTTAACGTGGTAGTTTACGGCGCGCGAACAGTCAAGTACAGTCGAAGAGACCGTTTTGACCGGACCACTCGTCAGATGTAGTATTGTATAGCATTAGACCCAGCCTGTAGCAGTGAGAAATCTCAGAATATCTCACCAAGGTTAGATGTGAAGTAACTGCCAAGGAAACAGTTTCTTTTAACGGAAAAAGCAGGACATTTGCAGAGAAGATGGAAGACCGTTTCTTTCTTTTCCCTGTCTTTGAAACTTCGACAGTGTTCATTGAAGGGTAGCCCAAGCCGACTTGCATGTATGCCTAGCACCCAGTGTCCTATTATTACTGCTATCAATCTCGATATATCCCGTCTACTTCGCTTTATAAGGAGTCGCGTGCGTTTCTCATTGAAGGAGGGCCACAATATCTTGGCGCTTTACTTGTGTCTAGGTTATTTCACCTATTTTCAGCCTTTGAAAATAGAACCTGAGGATACCACTCTTGATAAAACCTAACGGGGTTGCTACTGGAATGGCGTTGGAGATATCAAGAGCAGATTCCGTTCTCGCAAGCTCATCTGCCTATTCATTTCCCGATGCGCTGGGACCCAAACAAGGAACAAAACCTTGACAGATCTTTCTTGCTTTGTCTAACAAATAGGGAAGTGATAGTAAAAGAATTTAATGAGAGAAGTGTCTCTTGACTATCGACAAAAATTCCTATGTTGCCTCGAATATTGAGGTCATGTAGTACCCTATAGCGAATATTTCAGTCTGAAAGACACCACAGTTCATTTTAGAACCATCTGTAAAGATTCTGGTGGTATATTCGCTCGGTAGGTTACCCCTACACCACTCGCTCCTAGAAGGAACTCTGACTTGGAAAACTCTATAAAAATCCATGTATGGAATAATATAATCGGATGGTTGGTTCAATATTGGAGGCAATTGGCTTAAAATCTTAGCGTGTCCATATGTTCTTGATTTCCAACTTCCGGATGAGTTAAGCCTAGCTGCGCTGCAAGCAGATATGGCCATAATGTGCAGATCTATAGGTAGGATGTGCAATATAGTGTTTAGAGCTTCTGAAGGACTAGTTCTTAGAGCACCTGTTATCCCAATGCATGCTGATCTCAGAACAAATTTCTTCATAGTTGAAGTCCACCATACAAGAGATCAATAAATTAGAATACATACATTTACACAGCTATAGTACTTCCTATTCTTATTTATTGATCTCTTGTATGGTGGACTTCAACTATGAAGAATTTTGTTCTGAGATCAGCATGTTGAGACTAAGTCCCCATTTCATTCCAAACATCTGATGACAGGTATAGTAGGCAACCGTTGCCTTCTTAACTCTGTGCTGGATGTTGAGTTTCCATGATAATTTGGAGTCTAGAATAATAGATATTTGGCATTGTTCGATAAGAGTATTTCGCAGTTCTTTAACCGCGGCAAGTTGAAGCTTGGAATCTTGGTCTTTGTTGTGAATAGTACCATTTCTGTCATGTTTGGGTTTTTCTCTTAGGCCGCTGTCTGTGGCCAAATTATCGAGTAGCACCAAAGCAGTAAACATGACATCATTAATCACGTCTGGTAACATTCCTGATACCAATATCACAACGACTTTTATGTCTCTATTGTCCAGTTCAATGAGAATCGAGTTAAAAACGTTGAGCCAAAGTAGGAGGGAGTGATTACACCGCCCTGTGGTGTGCCTCGTTCCACCTGCTTGGACTTAATGCTGTTACCAAGACTTGCATTAACTATTCTGGATTTCAACAAAGTTACTGGCCAGTTGCTGATATACCCTTCAACATCTAGATTAGCAAGAGCTTTGTTGAATTGCAGAAGTATTTACGTTATTGAAGGCACCTTCTATGTCTAAGAAGGCTCCCATGATATAATCTTTAAATTAGATCGTAAGGTAGGCATGTTGATTAGTTGAAAGCTGCGATGAGCTATCTAGCCGTTTCTTTCCAGCGTTTTGAGTTGAAAAGATGAAATACTAATTGGACGAAAGTCTTTCGCATTCTCATGACTCCTTTTGCCAGCTTTGGGAATAAAAACGATCTTAACCTTTTATCCAATTTATCGGGACATGATTGAGAGAGAGAGGCTGAGCGTATATATTTTATGATGCCAGGGAATGATATATTCTTTTGCACTTTGTAACATTATTAGCAAAATACCATCTGGCCCAGATGATTAGAATGGGGAAAAACTATCTATCGCCCACGAGATTCTATCGTGGGAGATGATATTATTGTAACATCAACAAATTTTGTTGGAAAATATGTTCACCCCAATTAAAATGTATATAAAACTTAATTTTTAACAAATTATTTTTTTTTTGGAAAATTTTCACTTTAAATTTTTAACAAAATTTAGCAAATCAATTTAAAATTTTTCATTCTTAAACCTTAATTAAAACTCTTGAAATTTCTTCATTTGCATTAAACATTAAAATATTTTTATTTTTTTGTAATTTTCTTTTTATGTTTTTTTTTAAATCATTTTCTTTTTTTTTCATTACTGTTTTTAATCATAATCCAAGATGCATTTGAAAAATATTTAAATCATTTTGAGACTGGCTCTTTTAAAAGTGCTTAAACTTAAAAAAAATTAATTAAATAATTATTATAAAAAAATATAAAACAAATAAATTATTTAAAAAAAAATTAATAATAAGAAAATAATACAATAATAATTCAATGTTTTAAACAATAAATTAAAAATAAAATGTAAATAAATTGTCAATTTTGTGTTCAATTCATTACTAAGATCGTTTAGTTAAAAACAAAGTTTTTATATAGAATTTTTTATTGTTGTTGTTTTTTAATTTTTTTGGTTTATTTTATTTTTTTTTTTGTTGATTAATTTTATTTTATTATAATTCTAAGATTAAAAAGATTGTTGATTGATACAAGTTGAAAAATTATTTATTTTTTTGTTAATGTGAACATTTAAAAACTACTTTTGTTTTATTTTTGTATTTTATTTATTTAATTTTTTTGTTGTTGTTTTTTTTTAGTTTTAAATATTTTTTTTATAAATTTTTTTCAATTTTATTATTTTTTTATAAATTTTCTCCTCTTGTTTATTTATTATTGGATGCTCAATTAAAATCTTAGAATTATTTATTTTGTTTTTTTAAATTAAGTTAATTTTGTTAAAAGTTGTTATGGGTTTTCTCTGTTTAAATGATTGTTTTTTGAGAAATTTTGGGGGTTGAACTAAATTTGGAAACCCTTTTTATTTTGTGAGAAAAAAACAATGTCCAGAGTAGCCATCTTTAATATTTAACAGCAGTTGGATTTGCGATTGTTGTTGGCATTGCTGAAGATCTTGCTGTGTTGACGATCAGCACGACGCTGGGTGTGATTTCTGGACTGGACGTCACGTACTTTATTGGCACGTTTAATGGCGGTGCGACAAATGTCCTTGCGTTCCTTTTTAGATTGTATCTGTAATATAAAAAACATTAGGACCCATTAACTCTTTCTTATAAACAAAACAGAAAATCTACCTTTTGCACATTACGAGCCATTAATTCTTGCTTCAATTGGGCCACACTTTGACGATCCAAACGATAGCCCGAACCCGAAGAGCGTGACTGAACCGCTTGGGGATTCTGTTAAAAAAAATCATTAATTTTTGTTTTCTTAATATATCTTCTTAACTCTTTTTCCTACCTTCTTGGGAGTGGTTTCATTGGCCTTTTGCTTTTCAGCCATATCATTTACTCCAATATCTAGCTTAATGAAACTTTCAGTGGCGGCCTCTTGAGCCGTTTTAATACTATGATACACCGACATGCTAAAATAAAAAATAAAAAAACAAAAACATAAATTAATAAAGTCTCTCTATTCCTTTGATTGATGTAGAAAATAACACGACTACTACACCATGTCATTTCACCCACCTTGGATGCTCAATCAATAGGTTCTCATAGGGTGAAGTTTCCATATTGATGGGTCCAATGGAGGTGAAACATGGTGGTGGTGTTACGAACCATGATTCTTCCATTTTGCTGATCGCTTCTAAACCGTTAGCTGTATTAAGGGCCAGCTTCTCGTCACTTTGTGGCATTGTAGCGGCGGCCACATACAACGAACGGGTAATGCCGCCATCAGCTTTCGCCTCTTGACCGCTGCCATTGCGGCCATCGTTGACTGTGCGCGATGGACTTAATGTTGAGACACTTAAACCGTTGCCGGAGCGATTGTTGGTGTTGTTGCGGGTTTTTTGCAAATAATTACGTTGTTTTTGTGGGCGTGGTCCACTATAGAGGGAATGCGAATTGATATGTTGTAAACGCCTCTGCTGAGCCAATGAACTGGCCGCATTAGCGTTTATTGGTTTGGTGGTCTTAACGACCTCGATCACAGGAACGTTTTCCCCCTCGGAATCACTACGAGATGGGGAATCGTCTTCCTCATCGGCTGTAATGAAAAGAGTTAAAAAATTTACTTAAATATTTCAAAAAATTGTCTAGTCTATAGTCTAGTCTATAGTCTAGCCTATAGTTTAGTCTATAGTCTAGTCTATAGTCTAGTCTATAGTCTAGCCTGTAGTCTAGTATATAGTCTAGTCTATAGTCTAGTCTATAGTCTAGTCTATAATCTAGTCTATAATCTAGTCTAGTCTATAGTCTAGTCTAGTCTAGTCTAGTCTAGTCTAGTCTATAGTCTAGTCTATAGTCTAGTCTATAGTCTAGTCTGTAGTCTAGTCTATAGTCTAGTCTATAGTCTAGTCTATAGTCTAGTCTATAGTCTAGTCTATAGTCTAGTCTATAGTCTAGTCTATAGTCTAGTCTATAGTCTAGTCTATAGTCTAGTCTATAGTCTAGTCTATAGTCTAGTCTATAGTCTAGTCTATAGTCTAGTCTATAGTCTAGTCTAAAGTCTAGTCTATAGTCTAGTCTATAGTCTAGTCTATAGTCTAGTCTATAGTCTAGTCTATAGTCTAGTCTATAGTCTAGTCTAAAAAAAATTTTATTTAACATTAACCTTTCTTCACTCAACTCACCTTCTTTCTCAACAATAAACCATTCGTCTTCGTCGAATTCTTCTTCGTCACAACTATCACTGGGGGTTAGTAGTTTCGTTTGTTTGGAGGTTAGTGGCGATAACGCCTTATTACTGCTGCTGCTGTTGCTACTATTTTTAATTCCTTTACGTTTATTCTGTTGCCGAGCGTTGTTGCGTTTATTTTTGCCACGTTTAATGGCTCTTAACTGTTGACCCGGACCACCAGCACCTGTTACAGAAGGTGTCAGTGATGTTACTTCTATAAGATTATCAGCATCTACCGCGTTCGCGTTACGTTCGTCTATTACTTCAGTTGCAGTTGCAATAGCAGTCGTTTCACTATTCGTTTCACAATTCGTATTCGATCCAAAGAGAAACGATGCAAGACTACTAAACATTATACGAGATGGATAGAGAGTGGGAAGCTTTTGAAAAAAGCTAGTAGAGCTTTAAATCACTTTGTGTGCTTTTTGTTGTTGTTTAATTGCTATGTATAAATTTATGCTAAAACTTTAGTAATTATTATCACGTTAAGAGCTTTTATATCGTTTTCTTGTTGAAAAATAAAAATATTGCTTAAAAGTTTAGTACAGTTTGTTTGTTGAGATCAATTTGTAGCTTTTTTTGTTTGTTTGAGTTTAAAAATCCTTTAAAACAAGAATTTTCTTAGAATTGTTTTTTTATTTTTTCTGTTTGCTCTTTTCAGTCTTTATTTAAGCTTTTGTTACCTTTGTTGTTGATATTTGTTTTAATAAATACAAATGAGTCAACTGCAAGTAGAAAGAAAAATGAAAAATATATTAAAAAACTTGTTAACATAAAGTTTTATTAAGTTGTGGTGGGTATATACAAACAATTTTAATTTAACCTTGTTTATTGTTGCTGCTGGTTTATTTGGAAAACTTTCAGTTAATGACATTGAATGTGTCATTTTCTCCCAAATGTATTCAATCATCATGTCGTGTCGACATGATTTTTAAATTCTGTTCTTAAATATGACGCATGTAAATATGTGGTTGTTGTTTTTGCTTTTTTTTATAAAATTTTCCAAACCACCACTAAATGTTTACTGACACTTTTAATTTGCGCAAAAAATATATATACATATGTTTGTATGTATTTTTAAACCTCTAGAGAGTTATATACTTGTCTAAAAGCTTTTGTCATTTATATGTTTCAATCGCAAGAGATTTTCCATTCTCTTGATAAATGAGAAAAACTTTTTAGTTAAATATTCTAAATACTTTTTAGTTAAATATTTTGAAAGATATAAGTTTTTTAAAGAAGCTTTTATGGGTTAATTGGTCAATGTTGTTTTGGATAGAACACTTCAGAAATTTTTATAGATAATCGGTTTAAACCAAAAAATTTTAATGGAAAATTTGTGGACACAAACAAAACTTATAGAGAACTGTGTAATATTAACATTTTGAAATATACACTTTATATAGAAAGGTCAGTTTGTTCCTTTTTGTCCGTTTAAGGTTTAAAAAGTATAAATAAAAGCACACGCCATGCAGTCTCGAGTGATTTAATTAGTATTTTAAACATTTGGTTGTGTTGTATTATGCAAGAAAATGTTAAACGATAAAAACATAAATAAATTAACAAAGTTATACTCAACTTGAAGAACACCCTATACACTATAAAGTAGTCTAGTAACCAATCAGTGAAGTAGAGTAGCTCTTCTATATATTAATAATTACACAGTGCAAAAAATTTAGAACAAATTCGAAACCCAAAACTAACTAACTAACGAACTAACTAACGAACTAACTAAACTAACGAACTAACTAACTAACAACGAAAACGAACGAACGAACTAACTAATAACGAACGAACGAACGAAAACGAACGAACGAAACGAACTAACGAAACGAACGAACTAACTAACTAACTAACTAACTAACTAACAACTAACGAACGAACTAACGAACAACAACTAACTAACTAACTAAAGAACTAAACTAACTAACTAACGAACTAACTAACTAACTAAACTAACTAACAACTAACGAATAACTAACAACTAAACTAACGAACTAAACTAACTAACTACCGAACTAACGAAACACACTAACTAACTAACTAACTAACTAACTAACTAACAACCTAACGAAAAACTAACTCTAACTAACTAACGAACTAACTAACTAACTACACTAACTAACTAACTAACTAACTAACTAACTAACTAACTAACTAACTACTAACTAACTAACTACTAACTAACTACTAACTAACTAACTACTAACTACAACTAACTAACTAACTAACTAACTAACTAACTAACTACTACTAACTAACTAACTAACTAACTAACTAACTAACTAACTAACTAACTAACTAACTAACTAACTAACTAACTAACTAACTAACTACTACTAACTAACTAACTAACTAACTAAACTAACTAACTAACTAACTAACTAACTAACTAACTAACTAACTAACTAACTAACTAACTAACTGACTAACTTTTTTATAGAAAATTTGTTCATATCAACAATATAAAATGTTGAGGCCAACAAATTTTTATAGACAATTTGTTCACATCAACGATTTTTTTATAGAAAAACAACAAATACTTATAAGAATAAATTCACACCCACAAATACTTTTACAAAGTAATTCACTTCTCATCGACCATTTTTTATAGAAATGTTTAAAAAATTAAACTTAAAAGTTTTTGAAATTTATCAAGATTTTTTTTGACTATATAAATAAACTGAAGCTTTTAGATTTTTTAATTTTTTTGGAAATTTTGAAAATTTTTATAAAAAACTTTGGTTTTATGCAACAACTTTTACCACTTTCATTTTTTGCTAAATCTAAAAGTCTATGACTGTATTGAACACTTATTAAAGTGTAAAATTAACAAATAAGTTCTACTTAAAGAGTTTCATTTTGCCATAAAAATTTAAAGTGAAATTTTATTTGCAATAACAAAATATTTATTTGTAATAAATAAGAAATACTTAAAAAACTGTAACAAAACAATTAGTTTTGCAAATAGTTTTTAAAGCGTAATTTTAAAAAATATATTAGGGATATTAAAGTTAAATTTTAAGAAAATTTATATACAATTTATTATTAAAATATTTAAACATTTTTTAGAAAGCATTTAAAGCTTTAAAATTTTGATATAAGAGTTATAGAAATATCAAGTGAAAGCTTAAGATTTTGATTTATTTTGTAATAATGCGAAAACTTTTTTTTAAATGTTATCGTACATTTTCTGAGTACTTGTTCCAATTTTAGGACAAAATCGGAATTTTAAAATATCAAGATTTTTTTATCCTGAATACCCTTACTATTATTGCTAATAGTTAGTAACAAAATCAAATACAAAACGGTATATTTTTTAATACATTTCAATATGGGTCACTGTAGTAGAAATAATAATAAAATTAACAATTTTACCACACAAAATAACAACAACAACAACCCAAAAACGAAATAAATAAATTGTAAAATGGAAAAACTAAAAAAAAGAGAAAAACTTAAATTGCTTAGAAATCTAAAAACAACAGCAAACAAAACAATACTAGATGTAATATATGAGAATTCAAGTCAAAAACGTGATTGAACAATGGCAATTATAATAAAAACAAAAAAAAAAACAAAAATAGCAACAAATAGTAAATTTGAATCACCACCAAAGCAAACCGAAAGTAATATTATTATTTTTTTTTGTTTAATTTAAATCAAGGCAAAAAAACAAAGCAAAACAAAATATACAATATAAAAGATTTTTGTATGCTTTGTGTTATTTCTTTACGAGTGACAGCAGCCAACAATGGAAATTGGCGGGAAAATTGCTTTAAACATTAAGATGAAACTAAACTGCAGCTGATTTTGTTGCACACTGACAAAGATGTCATTTCGTTAAACATGTTAAGGCATCGGAGATGTGTGTCAATTGTTTTTACAACATGAACTCTAAAAGAGTTCCAATCAACCAACCAACCGACCAACCTGTGTTTGTAAAGCAGGGAATCTTTTGTAGCTTTAAACAGTTGTTTGCATTTACCAACGTTTATTTTAGTTGAGCTTGTCATGTTTTGGTAATAATCATAAATTTGACGATCAATTGTTTAAGATATCAATACTAGAAAAATTTACTATTTAAAAAGTTAGAGTCTTTGTAGAATGGCTATTGTTGTTTAGTGGAAAACTTTAGAATTTTAAAACTACTGTTTAAAGAAGGTCAGTGGAAAATATATGGTTGCTGAAGGATTTTTAGAAATCTAAAACTAAACAATAGTTAAATATCTGTCTATAGCTTTAGTTTAGAGTCAAAATATGTTAAGTCCAAATTTTTGTTTAACAGTTTTCCTTTATTGTAGAAGAATTCTTTAGACCTTTACTAAAGGATATAAAAATTCGTTTTTTCTAATATATTATCGAAATTTTAAAACATTATCGTAAATTTTTACAACACTTACAACAACAATAACAAAAATATTTTAATGTCAAATGAAAGCTAATTTAAAATACTAATTTTGATTTTTATTTAATTGGAAAAATTATTGAAAAAATCTCCATCAATTTAAAAAAAAATCAAAATTTTAAAACATTATCGTAAATTTTTACAACATTTACAACAACAATAACAAAAATATTTAAATGTCATATGAAAGCTAATTTAAAATACTAATTTTGATTTTTATTTAATTGGAAAAGTTATTGAAAAAATTAGAAATATTTGAAAAAATCGAAATTTTAAAACATTATCGTAAATTTTTACAACATTTACAACAACAATAACAAAAATATTTAAATGTCATATGAAAGCTAATTTAAAATACTAATTTTGATTTTTATTTATTTTGGAAATTTGTTGAAAAAATCGAAATTACTAGGAAAAGTCGAAATTTTAAAACATTATCGTAAATTTTTACAACACTTACAACAACAATAGCAAAAACATTTTAATATAAAATGAAAGGTAAAATAAAATACTAATTCTGATTTTTATTTATTTTGGAAATTTATTGAAAACAGCGAAATTATTTGAATAATTTAAATTTTTATAACATTATCGTAAATTTTTAGAACATTTACAACAACAATAACAAAAATTTATAAATGTCAAATAAAAGCTATAATAAAATACCAATTTCGATTTTTATTTAATTTGCAAAATTATTCAAAAAAATAAAATTATTTGATAAATTTTAATTTTTATAATATTATCGTAAATTTTTAGAACACTTACAACAACAATAGCAAAAATATTTAAATATCATATGAAAGCTTATTTAAAATACTAATTTTGATTTTTATTTATTTTGAAAAATTATTTAAAAATCTCAATTATTTGAAAAAATCGAAATTTTAAAACATTATCGTAAATTTTTACAACACTTACAATAACAATAGCAAAAACATTTTAATATAAAATGAAAGCTAAAATAAAATACTAATTTTGATTTTTATTTATTTTGGAAATTTGTTGAAAAAATCGAAATTATTCGAAAAAATCTAAATTTTAAAACATTATCGTAAATTTTTACAACACTTACAACATTAATAGCAAAAATATTTTAATATAAAATGAAAGCTAACATAAAATACTAATTTTGATTTTTATTTATTTTGGAAAATTATTAAAAAAATCTCAATTATTTGAAAGATTTTAATTTTTATAACCTTATCGTAAATTTTTACAACACTTACAACAACAATAACAAAAATATTTAAACGTCATAGGAAAGCTAAAATAAAATACATACTAATTTTGATTTTTATTTAATTTGCAAAAATG